CATGTTTCTTATTATAATTTGTATAAGTTATTAATAAAAATGTAGTAAAGATTGAAAATATTAGAAATAATATCACAATCGTATATTGACCTTTGGAAACATCAATATAAACCTTTTTAGTAGATACAGCACCAATGACCGCAGTATCTGCATATCTATCACTTCGTAGACTAACATCAATCTTAAAGTGACCCGATTTTGTTAAATGCAAAGAGCAATTGATGAATACTTCATTCGTTGTAATGTCTGTACAAAGATTGTCACCAGCTTGGACAACTAGTTGCTCTTGATCATCCTTATTCAGTGGTTTATCAAGTTGAATAGTTAGTCTTGTCGGTAAAGAAGAGTTGAACACCAAAGGTGAGATAGCGATGACTTTAAAACAATTGTTGACTGTTATTACAGCCTTGTTTTTGGGTTGATTATCATGAACACAAACTGAAGTTGACCAAATGCAGTCAGAATAAAATCCATAAATAATACATTGAGTACAAGTTTTTAGATTTGAACACACTTCAATGGGAATGAAAAGATTTTCATTTGTTTCTTTATCAACGTAAAAAAATCCAATTGGATGTTTATTAATATAAAAATTTACTTGTGAGGAATTTATGAGCAAGTGCGAATTTATTGTACCAAGATTTAAGCATTGTGCGGGCTCAGGATGATATTCACAAATAGCAGAGTAAATTATTGGATTTGTGTGCAGCAATATGTTTCTTTTCAGATGTGGATACGGCAGTGTAACAAACTGGATTTTTTGGACTAAAGTTGCTCGAGAATCAAAAAGTGAATAAAAAACATACCTTCCAGTTAAGATGTCACTGACATTTCTTGAAGGGACAATATTTTCCATCGTTGAACAACTTTTATGAGAGCTCTTTTTACATTCACCAACTTCTGATCTTAAATAGTGCCTTAATAAAGTGCTTTTATCAGAAGCCGAGGAGCATTCAATTGCAGTTTCTGCAAACAAAGAAACAATATCGCGTAAAAAATAGATATCATAAATTTTTGTATTATTTGAAGGTCGCAATTGTGTTGTGTGCAATTGGTAACGATCATACTCAGTTTCATGTGGTCCAAAAATGAAAACGAAAATCAAATCGATTATCTGATTAGTAATGAATTCTGGTCGAGTGAAATGAACTTCAACTGCACTTGAAATAAGTTCACTTCCCTTGTCGAGACAAAATTGTATTATTGATATCTCTTGAGTAACATTTGAGTTCTTTTCATCTGAAATACTTCGCTTTATTAGAAGGTACAATTTATTGTCGAAATGAATATAATCCATCATTTTCCATTCCTTAATGAACTTCCAATCATCATCCTTAAGCCACGGTAAGGATCGAAGCACAGAAATCTTTTCATTTTTATCATCGAAATACAACAATTCGATATAATTCCATTTATAAACTGGTTTAGTTAAATTTGGATTGAATATTGTTGGAACATGAAGAGCTTCATTATCACCAAAAGCTATTATTGAATCACTCAATTCACCAGAATAATTCATTTTCTTGATTCTCTGTTGATAAATCAGAATATACGGTTTATTTTTATGGACGAACATTAATCGATCTTCTATGAGATTGACTACTTTCCAATCGAGAATGTCAGACACATTAACTACACTTTTTGGAATGTTCATTTTTATTGTTTTACCAGCAACATAAATACCATAAGATGTTGCGTGATTATCGGGATTCGTCAAGAAAACACTTGCATGTGTTTTATAATAAAAAGCTATATCATGTTTGGGTGTTCTAAATGAATATGCTTTTGGAATAAACAGACAAAATTGAAAGATCCATATTAAAAGGTGAGTAAACATGATATGTTTTCTTGAAAATTTATATTATTCTTGTTCCCTTCCAAATAAACACCAACAAATTATCCAATAAACTACCAAATCCTGATATAATCCTTTGCTACTATTAAAAAGCGAGGTAAAAGACCTGTTGAATGAAAAGAAAAATTTTATTTACGAAATTAAACTTTGTTTAATACAGTACAGTAATACAAGTTATGTACATTTTGTATAAACGAGAGTTTGCTGTCGAGTGAAGAGTTTGGTCTTCTTGAATTTTTAGGGGCAGTAAAACTGAGCCCATTAGTGCTATTAAACGACGATGGTTTCTCCAATCGTCATTTGCTGAGACCAAACTTGGAACTTGGAATTTCTTGCATTAAATAGATCAACTGGAAATCGGCGTAGTCGTAGTTATTGAATACTAATATTATTTTACTTTAAATGTTTACTCAGTTTACTATTGAATTTAGGATGTTTTGGGACAATGATTTTTGAGTTTGACCTCCACGTTGAATAAGAACGACTCCTCGAAAGAGAGGACAGTGCTGATCTAATATTTTTTGAAGTCATTTGCATAATATTTGTTGAACTTTTAGCTACAAGAAACTCATTTCGATATTTATTATTATAATTTGCACAAGCCAGCAACAAAGATAAAATAATAAGTGAAACTGAAAATAATAGCAAAATTACTACAAATGCATAATGTCTCCTTCCAGGCGCTAAAATATTAACCTTGTCAGTAGATACAGCACTAATGACCGCAGCATCTGCATATCTATCACTCCGTAGACTAACATTGATCTTAAATTCACCCGATGTTGTTAAATGCATAAAGCAATTGATGAATGCTTCATTTATTGTTATGTTAGTGCAATGATTGTCACCAGCTTGGATAACTAGCTGCTCTTGATCTTTCTTATTCAGTGGTATATCAAGTTTAATAGTTAGTCTTCTCGGTAAAGAAGAGTTGAAGAATAAGGGTGAAATGTTGATGATATTGAAGCAATAGTCGACTGTTAGTGCAACCTTGTTCTTAGGTTGAGTATCATGAAAACAAATTAAGTTTGACCAAATGCAGTTGTAATAAAGTCCATACATAATACATTGAGTACAAGTTTTTAGATGTGAACACATCTCAATGGGAAGGAAAAACAATCCTTTATTTTGTTTAGCAATGTAATTAAATCCAAATGGATTTTTATTTATATAAAACTCTGTTGAAGAATTGTAAATCAAACTTGATTTATCGAAAGGGTTGCAAGCTATTGACGAAATCGTGTAGCTACAAACTGTAGTATTTATGACAGATATTGCGTGCCTCAAAAGATGGTTTATAAAGTGTGGATAGGGCAGCGATAAAAACTGAACTTTATGAAATGCAACTTGTTGAAGGTTAAATTGCGCTAAAAAAGTAATCGACGGTAAAAGCATTTGGCTGCCATCTCTCGAAGGAACGATATTTTCATTCGTTGAACAGCTTTTATAAGAAGTCTTTTTACATTCACCGTCTTCTGATGTTAAATGATGCCGCATTAAAGTGATGTTACCAAAACCAGAGGCACAGTCATTTGCAGTTTCGTCAAACAATGGGACAAAATTAATCAGAGAATAGGTTGTTTGTGATGGTAAACTGAGAGGAGATATATACTGTTCAGTGTACAAATGGAAATCCTTATTCTCATGATCTGAAGGTGCCAGAATTAAAAAGAACTTCGCCGCAACTACTTTAACAGTTCTGAATTCAGGTTTAGTGAAACGAATCTCAACTGCACTTGAAATAAGTTCAATTCCTTTGTCGAGACACAATCGTATTATTGATATCTCTTGAATAACAGCTTTAGAATTCGCCTTCGAAATAGCTCGATGTATTGCAAGGTACAATTTATCGTCGAAATGAATATAATCCATCATTTTCCATTCTCTAATCCATTTCCAATCATCTTTAAGCCAAGGTAATGATCTAATTACAGAAACCTTTTCATTTTTATCATCGAAATGCAATAATTCAATATAATTCCATTTACGAGCTGGTTCACTTGGTAGTGGACTGGCTATTGTTGGTACATGAAGAGCTTCATTATAACCAAAAGCTATTATTGAATCACTCAATTCACCAGAATAATCCATTTGCTTGATTTGCTGCCGCTCAATCAGAATTTGAGCTTTCTTATTATGGACGAACATTAATTGATTTTCATTGGTATTGACCACTTTCCAATCGAGGATCTCAGACATATTAGCTACATTTTTTGGTATATTAATCGTTGTTGTTTTACCAGCCACATAAATACCATAAGATGTTGTGTGATTCAAGGGATAATTCACAGACACACTTGCATGTGTTTTAAAATAAAAAGCTAAGTCATGTTTTGGTGGTTTAAATGAATATGTTTTTTGAATCAAAAGACAAAATTTGAGGAGCCATATCAAAAGGTGAATAGACATGGTAAGTTTTACAGAAATATAATATTATTCCCGTTTCCTTTCAAATAAAAACAAATGATTAAATAAACTATCATATCCCGATACTTTCATCTAAAGTGAATCAATAAAATCCTATTATTAACCGACAAAAAGTGAGTGAAATAAAGAGATCTGTTATGAAAAGAGTTGACAAAAAAACTTTCGAGTTAAGAGTTGGGATTTTGTTGGATTGTAACGGCATGAAATCTAAGCCATTATTTTAGCCTTATTTTGAGAGAAAAACAAAAATTTTTAGAAAAGAAAAAGATTTAATAAAAAAGTAATGAAAGAATGAAAAATTTACAATAAAATCGGACAAAATTAAAGATATTTGAGAGCTGTTCGAGCTCTGCAGTTTTAGTCTTTGCCGATCGCATTGTACTCCATATTGAAACCTGTTTACTCGATGAGCCACTTGTGAATGATTGAATAAAGTTAATGGATACGAAAAGTATTTTAGGCTCGTATTCACCAACCGAGATTAACCTGAAATCACTTTGAGCTTCAGATCAACTGATTTTGACTTTAAATAAAAATTTTGTTTCACCAACTTAGCTTATCCAAAGCTTAGATCAACTGATTTCAGATCAAACTAAATTGATCTCACCTTTTTTGATGCTAATATTAGCAAAATTAAATTAATAGATAGCCCCTACTAAGGCATTTGTTTACATTTTGAACCTTTTGTTTACATTTTTTTCACCCAAATTCACCAAAATCCATCATCTTTATCCTTTTTAAGGTGTTTTTGTGAACATTTTCATTAAATTTTTGATATTATTAGTTACTATCAACATGTCAACAACTCAAATTAATGGGTAAGTAATAATTTGTCCTAAATTACATATTGTTATAACAAATAATGATTTATATTTCTGTTTTTTTCGCTAGCGTAACCTTTTGTCGCAACTTTGTAAATCGTGGTTACTGTTATGGACTTGGCTGTAAATATCTCCATGTAGATAGACAAATTGAATCTCATTACAAACGGACTGGTAGATTACCAACGGAATTAGCAAATGAATGGTGCAAGTAAGTTTTAATTCCGCTAGCGTAAGTTTCTATACTGATTTTTTATTTATCATTTTCAGCACCCAAAAAATATTGGCAAAAAGAGACCCGAATGTTTGCCAAGATCAAAATCAATCAAAGTGTTTCCGGGTTAATTGTAAATTTGGAACCCACCATGTCTTTAGAACAGACATGGATGCTGGAAACATTGTTGAATTCACATTCAGACCTAGCCCTAAAATGATGGTAAGTCATATTACAATGAAAATTACCAATTTTTTAATATTTTTTTCTCTTTATTTCAAGGATTACTTAGCGCATATTTACCAGGCTCCAAAACCTTACTGGTACTCGGATGTTTTATGCCACATCAGAACCCCTTTTCCACTACTGGCTGAGCACATCATTAAAGTATTGGTATTTTTTTTCGCTGGCGTAATTTTATCGAAAATTAACCATTGTTTTGTTTTGTTTTTACAGAAAACATTCCGGATTCAAAGGAGTCAAGTTTCTTTTTATTATAATGAGCGGGAAATCATGCCAAATGATTCCAATGTGACTCCATATTCACTTGACATCGGCAATGGTGTCATCGTTGATATTTCTTTTGATGGTTCGCTAGCGGAGATGGACTGTTCAATTTGTTTAAATGTCGCATCGGAAAGATGCTATTGTTTCCCCTGCAACCACTTTTTTTGTATTGATTGTTCCCTCAGTTGGTTCTTTGGACTCAGCAACAGTAATTTGAAACTCTGCCCTTTATGTAGGGCTGATGTTAATCAACTACATTTTAGGGTTGAGGGTCAAATTACTGTTGCTGATTACAGGAACCTGGCTCAAATGTCAGATAATGAATTGTCTGATTGGACAAATCATTATCTTGCCCGGCCTTTTTTTCGACTTGAGGAACCATCAAATATTGTTAATTATTTGCCTGCTGATTTCGGTGGTTACTGATTAAAAAGTTTTGTTTTCCATTCTTCTTTTGTTTTTTTCAGTTTTTGTGCTCTTTAAATATGGCTAAGGTTCGCGGTAAGAATTTTACAGATAAAGAAAAGGAACTTCTTGTTTCTCTCATTGAAGATCATCCTAAAAAAGAGTTAACAACGAATCGAAACAACGACAAAGATACTTCTATTGCCAAGAAAAACTTCTGGTGTGAAATTGCTGAAAGTTTAAATTCCGCTAGCGGAAATGCAACAACTTTCAATGGTGACCAGTTGAAGATTTGTTTAAAAACATGGTAACTCGTGCTAAAAATGCTCAAGCGGAAAACAAAAAAGAAACTATAAAAACTGGTGGTGGTCAAAAGGAAAGTGAAATCGGTTCAATCAACAGTAAAGTTATTAATGTGATTGGAGATACCATAAAGCCATATGACAACCAATTCGATTCAGATGCCAAGTTTTTTTCTCAATCAGAGGTTCTTACTCTAGATGACGAAAATGAATCATCACAAATTACGCTAGCGTCAACTAAACAGCCAGTGATGGAACAAAACAAAAAAAGGAAATATGCTTCGATAGAGGAAAAAAATGTATTTATTGAGAAAATGGAATTGGAAAAGTCTGTTTTGATCCAAAAGATGAAGAATATGAAAAGGAAACAATTTCTTATTGATCTTCAAATTAAACAAGTACTTGCAGCCTCTGGAATAGACTACTCGGTTGATGTTGAAGGTACGCTAGCGGACCTTGGTTTAAATTGATTTATTATTAATCTTCTTTTCCCAAAACCTGCTTCTGTTCCTTGTTCAATTCTTTCCGATTCACGATGAACGATGGGATTCTCATCTATATCTGTATCTTCTTCTACAAATTCATCTTTTTCAATAATTAGAAAATTCCAAAGAACTGCTGTGGCCAATATAACTGTCAATGAAGTTGTGAATTTCAAACGTAGGTCATTTAAACAATAAAATCTTCTTTTCCATGCTCCAATACTCCTTTCGACCAAATTTCTCGTCTTTATATGTTTCTTTTGATAAATCATCTCCGCTAGCGTATTAGGATCACTCAATGGTGTCATAAGATATGTTTTACATGGATAAGCTGAATCACCAAGCAAATGTCCTGTATAACTTTGTGATTCTAATACGTAATAAGGTTCACTGTGTTTAAATATTCTACTATCGTGAGTACTTCCTGGCCATCTTGCATTTATGTGTAAAAATTTCATATTATGGTCAAAAACAACTTGACAGTTAACTGTTATCTCATTTTTTCGGTTTCTGAATCTTTCATGTAAATCTTTCGGTACTTTAACTTTAATATGAGTTCCATCAACAACACCAATTACACCAGGAAACCCTGCAATCTTTGAAAAACCAGAATGCAACTGAATTAGTGAATAAGTATCCGCTAGCGTAATTAATATTTACCTTGGCTTCTTCTGTAGGAGATGGAAAAACAATATATTGTGGAAGTTTTCTTGCTAAAACAGTAGACACTTTCAACACTATTCTTGAAATTGTTGGTTGCGAAAATCCGATAAGATCACCACTTACTATTTGGAATGAACCAGTTGCAAAGAATCTCAATGCTATAAGAAGTTGATTTTCGGGACTAACAGGGTTATTTCTTTTTCCAAATATTTCTATTTCATCTTTGATGAGGGGTAGAAGCACGTGGAAAGTCTCTTTATTCATTCGGAACCTTTTTTTGAATTCAAAATCATCAAACAGTACAAGAAGGTCATTTTTCGGTAATATTGTTCTTCTTTGAGGATTTCTACGCTGGCGAAAACCAAAAGCGAATAGATATTCATCCATTCTCCAGAAATTTAAGAAAAAACTTAATTAATTTACACTCAAAGATCAAGACAAAACACATGTAAATGAAAAAACAAGTCGATATCAAGGAGATGATCTTGGTAATTACCAAGATCAAATTTTGATCCACACTTGATCAATATCCACAATCAAATTGAGCATGACCCGAGTTGGTGAATCAACATTTTAATATCGGATCAAATAATTTCGGTTGGTGAAATCAAAAAAATTGATTTCAAGATTAGTTTGGTCAGCTGTGATCTTAGCTTAGGTGTGATCTGAGATCAAATTTTAATTTCAATTGGTGAAACAAAAAAGTTAAGATTAATCAGTTTGATCTCCGAATCAAGCTTAAACTCGGTTGGTGAATACGGCCCTTACTTTGCATATTTAACTAGTTAACGGTTCCATTTGAAATGTTTGGGAACAGTGGTTTTTGAGGTTGTCCTCCACGTTGAACGCGAACGACTGCTCGAAAGAGAGAACAGTGATGATTTAATACTTTTTGTAGCCATTCGCATGATATTTGCTGAACTTTTAACTTCAATAAACTCATTTTGATGTTTAGCATTATGAATTGAATAACCGAGCACTAAAAATATACTAATAAATGAAACTGTCATTATTAGTAAAATTAACACAAATGTATAATAATAATCATTCTCAGGCGCTAATATCTTAACCTTCTCAGTAGATACAGAACTAAGGATCGCCGCATCTGCATATCTATCATTTCGTAGACTAACATCAATCTTGAATCGACCCGATTTTGTTAAATGCATAGAGCAATTGATGAATGGTCCATTCATTGTTATGTCAGTGCAATGATTGTCACCAGCTTGGATAACTAGCTGCTCTTGAGAAGCCGTAAAATTCAGTGATTTGTCGAGTCCGATTGTTAGCATTGTCGATGATGAAGAGTTGAAGATTAAGGGTGAAATATTGATGACTTTGAAGCAATGGTCGACTGTTAGTTCAGCCTTGTTCTTAGGTTGAGTATCAGGAACACAAATAGAGTTTGACCAAATGCAGTCAAAATAAAGTCCATACATAATACATTGAGTACAAGTTTTTAGATTTGGGCACACTTCGATGGGAATGAAAAGGATTTGATTAGTTTCTTTCGTTACGTAAACGAATCCGTTTGGATATTTATTGATATCAAAATCGGCTTGGGCAAATGGAGCGAAATAGTTCGAGTTTGCAATGAAATTTTTGGAATGTCAATTGTTATTGTTTGACCAGCCACATAAAAACTGTAAGATATTGTGTGATTATCGGGATTCGTCAAGAAAACACTTGCGTGTGTTTTGTAATAAAACGATGAATCATGTTTGGGTGTTTTAAATGAATATGCTTTTGGAATCAACAGACAAAATTGAAAAATCCATATTAGAAGGTGAATAAACATGATGTGTTTTTTTTTGAAAATTTTATATTATTCTTGTTCCCTTCAAAAAAAACATCAACAAATGATCCAATAAACTATCAAATCCTGATACAATCCGAGCGAGTGAAAAGATTTGTTGAAAGAAAATAATATTTAATATTTACAGAATGCAATTTTGTAAGAAATCTCCATTTCCAAATGGATATTTTCCACCATCAGTAGATAAGAATACAATTAATTCTTGTTGTAAACAAAATGATCTTGGAGTTGCTATTGACCTAATAGTTGCTAGAGTTTTGTGATTATTTCAATGAATGTAATTGTTTTATAATTCAAATGACAAGTTACAGATCGCATTGCATCCGAATTGAAACAGTTTACGCAATGTGCCTTTTGTAAATGATTGAATAAAGTTATTGGATATAGATTATATTGTACTGCAAGATTTTACTAGTTAACTGGTTCATTTAGAATGTTTGGGGACAATGATTTTCGAGGTTGACCTCCACGTTGAATACGAACGACTCCTCGAAAGAGAGGACAGTGCTGATCTAATATTTTTTGAAGCCATTTGCATAATATTTGTTGAACTTTTAACTACAAGAAACTCATTTCGATATTTATTATTATAATTTACACAAGCCAGCAATAAAGATAAACTAATAAGTGTAACTGAAAATGATACCAAAATTACTACAAATGTATAATCATGTCTCCTTTCAGGCGCTAAAATATTAACCTTGTCAGTAGATACAGCACTAATGGCCGCAGCATCTGCATATCTATCACTCCGTAGACTAATATTGATCTTAAATTCCCCCGATGTTGTTAAAAGCATAGAGCAATTGACGATTGATTTCTTCATTGTTATGTCAGTGCAAAGATTGTCACCAGCTTGGATAACTATTTGCTCTTCAGAGGCATTAATCAGTGGTCTAGCAAGTTTAATAGTTAGTCTTCTCGGTAAAGAAGAGTTGAAGATTAATGGGGAAATGTTGATGATTTTGTTGCAACGGTCGACAGTTTGTTTAGCCTTGCTCTTAGGTTGAGTATCATGAACACAAATAAAGTTTGACCAAATGCAGTCAGAATAAAGTCCATACATAATACAGTGAGCGCAAGTTTTTAGATGCGAACACATTTCGATGGGAATGAGATTGAAATTATTAGTTTCTTTATCAACGTAAATAAATCCAAATGGATGCTTATTGATATAAAAATTTCCTTGTAAAGAATTGCTAATCAAACTTGAATCTATTGTATTAAAATTCAAGCAAGGATGCAAGACAGAGTTATTAATATATTCACAAATAGCTGAATTAATTAAAGGTCTTGTGTGCATTAAAATGTTGATTCTTAAGTATGGATACGGTAGTGTAATGAACTGAGATTTATGAAGTACATTTGCTAGAGAATAGAAAAGGAGAAAAAAAGTATACGATCCAGGAAGGATGAGTTCGACATTCCTTGAAGGAACATTATTTTCCGTCGTTGAACAACTTTCATAAATAGTTTCATTGCATTTAGCAACTTCTGATCTTAAATGGTATCGTAATGAAGTTATACCATCAGAACATATAGCCGATTCATTTGCAGTTTGATCAAATAATGAAACAATATCAGTGATAGCATAGGTTTGATAAGTTTTTATGATGTTAGGAGATGTCAATTGCGTTGTGTGAAATTCGAGCCTATGATTTTCAGTATTCAAAGGTCCAAAAATGTAAACGAAAAACAAATCAATTATCTGATTAGTATTGAATTCCGGTCGGGTGAAATGAACTTCAACTGCACTTGAAATAAGTTCACTTCCCTTGTCGAGACACAATTGTATTATTGATATCTCTTGAGTAACCTTTGCAGCCTTTTGGTTCCATATACTTCGCTTTATGAGAAGGTACAATTTATCGTCGAAATGAATATAATCCATCATTTTCCACTCCTTAATAAACTTCCAATCATCATCTTTAAGCATAGGTAAGGATCGAAGCACAGAAACCTTTTCATTGCTATCATCGAAATGCAACAATTCAATATAATTCCATGTATGAACTGGTTTAATTGAATTTGGGTTGGATATTGTTGGA